GTTGTCCCCCCTGTCCCGCCTCAGTCTACCTCCTGTGCGAGGCTTCGGAGGAGTGGGGAGGCCAGTGGCTGGTGAGAGGTCGAGCCTCAGGTCACCGATGTCCCCACCCCCACACCCTGCGCCTCCCCACGGCCTGAGGGTGAAAGATGAACCAGATCGCCTCAACGCCCCCATCTTGTTTCCAAAGCAAACAGACCAGGGCCCTGGGGGATGAGCAGCCTCCTCTCCTGAGGGCAAACAGGTGCTCTGGGCTGGGCCGCAGGGCGGGTGTCAGGACAGTCCCCAGGACCGTCTGCCTGACGCCAGACTGGGGTCCACCCAGGCACCGGCCCGCCCCTCAGACCCAGGGGTGCAGGGCCCAGCCCACCTCGCTCCTGGGCCCTCTTAGAGGGGACTTCACAGAGTTCATGGCAAATGGAATTAAAGTAGGAGTACATTTCGATGCAAAAAATTAAAATCCTTGCATAATAGTTTCCTAATAGGCGTTTCCCATGAACTTTCTGAAGACCCCCGACAGCGTCTGTGTCCGGAGTGCCCCCACGTGCTGCCTGGGCTGCCTGGGTGCACCTGCCTAGGGGCCCAGGCCCACCTGGCCGCTCCCCCAGGTGCAGCTTCAGCCAGCTCGCCCGCCCTGGCAGCCTCTGACCTACCTTCCAAGGTGCCTGCTCTCCGCCTGCCTGTGTGGCCAGCACCGGGCACTCGGGGCAGGTGCCAGCCAGGCCTTCAGGACGGACCCGCCCCACCCTGGGGGTCGTCAGGCCCCGCCCTGCCCAGGCCCCGCCCCTCCTGCCCCCACTCGGGACAGGGCGACATCGTGCGTTGGTTCCCAGGAATGGCTGCGGCCAGGCAGGTGCTCCGGCCAGGGGGGCCTCTGCCCCAGACCCAGGGGCCAGGCATGGCAAGGGTCCAGGACCAGGCCTCCCTCCCCCAGACCTTTGCTCCTCCTCCCTCAGGTCCCCAAAAAGGGTGAGGTCATGTCTGTAGCCCCCCCAGATGCCCATCAGTGCCTCCTTGACAGGTCAGACCACGTGTTCTGAGGAGGGTGTCGGGGGCAGACTCTGGGGAAAAGATGAGACAACGAGATTCCAGCCCGATGCCGTGAGGGTGACCTCAGACTTGGAGGGGGCGGGAAGCAGGTGCTGAGCAACTGTGAAGAGGGGCCGGGGGTGTGGTGGGGGAGCTCTGTGCTCTGGGCTTGTAAACTCCACATGTGTAGGAGAAAGCTGGGCATCTGGACCCCAGGTCAGAGGGGAGCTCGGCCAGCTTCCAGAGGGTGGGGCCTGGACCCCGGGTCTGCAGGAGGAGGGTGGGGCCTGGACCCCAGATCTGAGGGAGGAGGGTCAGGCCTGGACCCTAGGTCTGCAGGAGGAGGGTGGGGCCTGGACCCCGGGTCTGAGGGAGGGGGGGGGGGGGCTGAGGGAGGAGGGTGGGGCCTGGACCCTGGGTCTGAGGGAGGGAGGAAAGTCAGGCCTGGACCCCCGGGTCTGTGGGAGGACGGTGGGGCCTGGACCCTGGGTCTGAGGGAGGAGAGTCAGGCCTGGACCCCGGGTCTGTGGGAGGACGGTGGGGCCTGGACCCTGGAGTTTGAGAGAGGAGGGTGGGGCCTGGACCCCGGGTCTGCGGGAGGATAGTGGGGCCTGGACCCTGGAGTTTGAGAGAGGAGGGTGGGGCCTGGACCCTGGGTCTGAGGGAGAGTCAAGGGCCGGAGAGGAATGACAATAGAGTGACCTGGGGAAGGACACAAGGAGGAAAGAGCGGCCGGCTGAGGCTCGGGGTAAGGCTTGGCGCCCAGCCGCAGTCCACACAGGGCTTGGACGTGTTCCCTCCACTTTGGGACAGCTGCACCCACTCCTTGGTTAGAGCATCACGGTCAGTGTGAAGTCACTGTATTTTAAAGTAAGCTTTTAATTGGGAATAATTTTAGACATGGGACAGTTGTGAAGACTGCAGAGTCCTGCAGACGCCTCCTCCAGCCTCCTCCAGGGTTGACCTCCGTGTTTGTCCAAAGAGTGAACAGTTGGTCAGACACAGGCCGCTTTCCTCACCCACGCCCTGCCTCTGTCCCAGGGTCCAGTCCAGGAGACCATGCTGCCCGGCGTTGCCTTTAGTGTGCTCTTTTAAACCTGGAGAGCGTAGATTCTTCTGGAGGAAATAGTTTCCTGTTCCTTGCTCTCCCCTGAGTGCTGGGGACACAGAATGAACCACTGTGAGCCTTGAGGGAGATGACATGGGACATCAGGGCACACAGCTGGCCCGGCGGAATAGCGAGATCCAGTCCTGACTGGGGATTGACAGGTCTGAGGAAGACAGGTGGGGTTTGGATGCCCACAAACCATGATGCTCTGCGTTATTTGGGAGCAGCTGTCCTTTGACTGTCACCAGATGCTGTGTTGAGCCATTGTGATGGGATTAAGAGGCTGCAAGCTTGATGCGATTATTGTGGGATGGGGTAGTAGGGCAGAGCGCCCTGAGAACACACTCTGCTCTGCTCAGAGCTCTGCCCTCCACCATTCCAGATGCCTATGGACTTTTCAGCCACCGGAATCGTGAGTCAAATAAACCTCTATTTTTATACATTATCCAGTCTCAAGTGCTTCTATAGACAATGTAGTAGTTCTAGTGGGACGAAGACAGGAGCAGAATGTGGAAGGATCTAGAAATGAAAAAGGCCAGGTCAACCCTGAACAGTCCGTGATGGGAGACAAAAAAAGATCCAAGTCAATTTGATTTGAGTTTCCAGGAGGCCAGAGAAAGCTGGGGTGGGAGCCACAGGGTGGAGAAAGATGCTCTCTGTGGAGGGCACAGGAGGCTGAATTTCAGTTTTGTGTGTAGATTTAGGTCCAGAACGGATGAGTGATTCCCACGGTGTCATCCAGAACCCAGAGAAATGGGAGAGGGTGAGATTTACATGGTGTCAGATCCTGAAAGTTCAGAGTTTTTGCTGTGGATGGTGGGAGCCATCCAAGGTCTTAGAGGAGAAGAACGATCCCACTGGAACTCAGCATTCAACACGACCCCACAGTACAGAAACAATCTATGGGGAAACAGTGTCCTCCTTCAAGAAGAGAACAGATGGAAGAGGAAGGGCCCTTGACAGAAGAGGCTGGGGGCCTGGGCTCCTAGACCCTGTGCTGGGAGGGGAGTTGCATACCCCAGGCCAGCCTGCTGTAGGGAGAGGTGTACTGCATTCCCTCTGTCCTCTCAGGAACAGCTGTCTTGCCATCCAGGTGGCCATAGGGGGGAGGGGGAGGGGACTTTGGCCCAGGCCTTGGCCACCTGTCTCTGTCACCTGGTCAGGGAGTTCCCCAATCTGTCCCTGTCCTTCTGCCACTTTTGTCATCCTCCTCGTCATCTGTCCACTCCTCTAAGCTTGATCTTCCCTCTTCCCCCTCCTCCCCATCCTCATAGGACACACTCCCCAAGGCTCCAGGTCCCTCTCTATCCCCTTCCAACCCCCAGTCGTCCCCCAGGAAGTCGAGGGCAGCGAGTGGTGGGCTTCTTGTCTCTGGATCCAAGTCTAGAAGCCCCTGGAGCAAGGCCAGGGCTGAGGGTGCAAACTGGCTCCAGGGTGGCGGTGGACGAGGCGGCTGGGGCCTGGTGGTCACCCAGCCAGCAAAGGCCTCGAACTCGGGATCGGGGGCAAGTGCCACTTCCCATGGGAAGCAGGCAGTGGCTGCACAAAAGAGAAGCACCCCCAGGCCCCAGGAGTCCACCGCCGGCCGCAAGGGCAGTGTGGCAGGTGGCAGCAGGAGGCAGAGTTCTGGTGGAGCAGAGGGCAGTGGCACTGGTGGGGCTGGGGTTGGGCTCCCCTCTGGCCGGGTCAGACCCAGGTCACCCAGGGCCACCCGGCTGCAGGCGGGGTCAAAGACCAGCACATTATCCGGCTTGACATCTGCGTGGACCAGTCCCCGGCCATGGAGGAAGTCCAGGGCTCCGGCCAGCTGGGCCACCACTCGCTTCACCAGCAGCTCTGGGAGGCCCTGAAGTCAAGGAGAGAGCATAGATATTGAGGTGTCTTGATTCCTTCTCAACTGTCCCCAGCAATCTCTAAGCTCCTAAGCCTCAAAGGTTCTAACCCACAGGGTATAAGAGTCCAGAACCCCGGGGCCAGCAGGTGGCATAGTGGTTAAGGTGTTGGTAAGTTGATTGACCAACTTACTTAGCCAGCTAGCCAGTCTTCAGCCCATCCATGAAACCACTCATCGATCCAACAGTATTCAAGAGGAATCCCCTCAACATCCATTCTACCACCAGCTGTCAATCTGACAATCTATCCAAATATCCACTATCCAGTACCCATCCACTCATCCTTCCTTGCATCTAATCATCCATCATCCATCTTTCAACCTTCTGTTCATCCATCTACATACCCACTCTTCCATCCATTCATCGCGGCAGCCAACCATTTCATCCACTCTCCATCCATTCACTCATCTATCTGTCCATCCATCCACCCACTCTTCCATCATCTCCCCATCCACTTACCGTTCCATCCATCATCCGCCCATCCACTCATCTATCTGTCCATCCATCCACCC